GCCAAGAATGCCCGCGACCAGCCCAATGGCCGGCGCGTCGTCTCCAGCGCCTCGAACAAGGACCGCCAGCCGAGGACTCGGCGCTCGCAGTTCCTGCCGCAGCTTCACCTGGCCATATACGACAACGCGCTGCACTTTGTCGAGTTCGAAAACGACCTTGCCGCGCTGCATACGCTGCTGGCCAAGCTGGTGTCCAAGCTCGGCGTCAACGCCGTTCGCTACGGCGTGCCCATGATCTACCGCCTCCAGGAGGAGATTTTGGCCCTCGATCAACCCATCCACAAGGTGCGGATCGCGGCCCTGTGCCATGGCTACTTCTGGGCCCTGACCGATAGGTTCGAGTTCGAGGGCTCTGCAGTGGGCAGGGCGATCGGAAACGAAGTCGCCCGGCGAAAGAGCAAAGGCTTCTGGGTGCCGGGCATCCACGTCCCGGCGCTGCCCCTCGACCAGATCGGACCGCTGGGCCAAGCGTCCCCCCCGCCCTCATGGGACCTCAGCGCTCTCGAGACGGAAGAGCTGTTGCCGTTTGACGACCGGGTCGCCCTGATCCAGTGCATCGCCGTGGGCTACGAGGAGAGCACCTCGTTTCCGCCAAACAGCCCGTCTGCCTCGCCGGGTCGGACGCTCTCCGGCCCCATCCTCAACACCCCCATGAGCCCCGGGTCCTCTTCCGCGGCAGGGTTGACTCCGGACAGGGCGCTGGAGCTTCCGGACACGTACCGCGAGGAGATGCTGACGGAGTGGTCCAGAGAGCAGGTGGCCGCCGCTCTGGCCGCCGAGGGCAAGACGGAGTCCATCAACGGCTCGCGGACGGGCACCGTGGCTACCGGCCTCAGAAATCTGACCATCGGCACCGGCACCGCCGCCGGCGTCAACGGCAACAATGGCTACCTGCCATACTCGCCCTACGGCAGCCAGCACAACTTGCGACCGCGCTCGTCCCAGACGCACATGATGGCGGATCAGATCCACCTCGGAGCCCTCGGACCATCGCCCAGGTTCCGGCAGGGCAGCATCCGAAGCGGCATTTCGCAGACGATGTCGTCGTCGAGCAAGGCCGGCGTCGCCTCGGTGGAACAGCTCAAGCGCGTGCTGTCCGGCAACGTGTCCCCCAACGCCTTTGGCTCCGAAGACGACAGCG